TATTTTTTTATTTTAATTTTTATTTATTTGTTTTTGAAATGAGGTCTCACTCTTTCACCTAGGCTGGAGTGCAGTGGCATGATCTTGGCTCACTATGACCTCCGCCTCCTGGGCTCAAGCAATTCTCCCACCTCAGCCTCCTGAGTAGCTCGAACTACAGGCGCCCACCACCATGCCGGGCTAATTTTTGTATGTTTTTGTAGAGATGGGGTTTCACCATGTTGCCCAGGCTGTTTTTTTAATGAAGAAAAGTTGTGTCTGAAAGGCAATAAAAGACCCCTTAAATGAGAGCATTAAGTGACTTAAAAAATCATACAGATAGGCTGAGCACAGTGGCTCATGCCTGTAATCTCAGCACTTTGGGAGGCCAAGGTGGGCAGATCACTTGAGGTCAGGAGTTCAAGACCAGCCTGGCCAACATGGCGAAACCCTGTCTCTACTAAAAATACAAAAATTAGCTGGGCTTGGTAGCGGGCACCTGTAATCCCAGATACTAGGGAGGCTAAGGCAGGAGAATTACTTGAACCCAGGAGGCAGAGGTTGCAGTGAGCCGAGTTTGTGCCGCTGCATTCCTGCCTGGGCCTGGGCAACTGAGCAAGACTCCGTCTAAAAAAAAAAAAATGTACAGATGGTATCTGCAATGTGAGAAAGAAAAGAAATTTTTTATCTGAGAAATGCAAGCTCTGCTTTAAATTATCAGGCCCAGAGCACTGAAATGTGACAAGAGTCACGCTTCACTCCCCCTTGAGCTAGGTAATCACTTCATGAAGCTACTTGCTATTTGGGCTCTAGATTTACTGACCCCAAGTAGCTATAAATTAACCTAACAATGCCATACGCTGGACACCATAACTCATACTCTATAGTTCAGCAATGTATATTGCCAATCATTAATCAATATTATTTCTATAAACCAATGAAAATTCCTCACAAACAACTTTTGTCGTCACCCCCTCTCTTGATTCATTATTTTTCTTTAAAAGCGTAAGCCTCTCCTTTGTTCTCTGGAGCACTTCCCAAGGTAACTACGAAGTATTTCCAGGCTGCAGTCCTCAACCTTGGCCCAAATAAGCTCTCTATATTAATTTTGCCTCAGTTTCTTTCTTTAGGTAGACAAATGCATTCTTTTAGAAGTTACATAGAGAAGCCTTAACAAGTTGAGCTGCTAATGACATAACTAGCAAGTTTGGCACAAATGAAAGCCAAGACAAATCATTTAATACTTTTAGTGCCCCCAAAGGACAATCTGCCTAGTTACACAGGATTGTCCCTGCAGACCTCTTGAATACAGGCTTCATATACACACACACACACACACACACACACACACACACACACAGGCTTCATATATATACACACACACACACACACACAGGCTTCATATATACACACACACACACACACAGGCTTCATATATATACACACACACACACACACAGGCTTCATATATATATATACACACACACACACACACACAGGCTTCATATATATACACACACACACACACAGGCTTCATATATATATATACACACACACACACACAGGCTTCATATATATACACACACACACACACAGGCTTCATATATATATATACACACACACACACACAGGCTTCATATATATATATACACACACACACACACACACAGGCTTCATATATATATACACACACACACACACAGGCTTCATATATATATACACACACACACACAGGCTTCATATATATATACACACACACACACACACAGGCTTCATATATATATACACACACACACACACAGGCTTCATATATATATACACACACACACACAGGCTTCATATATATACACACACACACACACACACACAGGCTTCATATATATATACACACACACACACAGGCTTCATATATACACACACACACACACACACACAGGCTTCATATATATATACACACACACACAGGCTTCATATATATACACACACACACACACACACACACACAGGCTTCATATATATATATACACACACACACACACACAGGCTTCATATATATATATACACACACACACACACGCTTATAAATATAAGTTATACATATAAAACAAAACTATATATACATCGTTTTGTTTTGTTTTTTGAGACAGGGTCTTGCTCTGTCACCGTAGCTGGAGTGCAGTGGCACAACCCAGGTTCACTGCAGCTTCGACTAACTGGGCCCAGGTGATCCTCCCAACTCAGCCTCCCAAGTAGCTGGGACTACAGGCACACACCCACCTCGGCCTCCCAGAGTGCTGGGATTACAGGGGTAAGCCACCACACCCAGTCTTTTCAGTATAATTTGTATTGTTTTGCACTAATGCACTACTGTTTTACGCACTCAATCTGCTGCCTCACTTTGTGTAATCTCCAACAGAAGAAATATGAAAAAGAAAAAGAAAAATGATTATTTGTCATCCCTTCCGCTTTCCCATATTCTATTAATTGTGTATCCTAAAGAAAAGCTTTTCTTTAGAGTATTTACTGAGGAAGTAGAGATGCAAACTGAATAACCCAGAAGGGGGTCACTTGTTTCACTTCAGAAAAGGGAAGAGACCTACAGGGGAAGATAATGGGGAAAAAGAGGAGAGGGAGAGGAAGTATGAGAGTCAAAGACAGGGAGGGAGGCTGAACAGATTTGAGAGAAAGAAGACAGAGGCCGGGAATGGTGGCTCACACCTGTAATCCCAGCACTTTCAGAGGTTAAGGTGGGCGGATCACTTAAGTTCAGGAGTTCGAGATCAGCCTGGGCAACATGATGAAACCCCATCTGTACAACAAATACAAATTTAGCTGGGCATGGTGGTGCACATCTGTGCTCCCACCTACTCAGGAGGCTGAGGTAGGAGGATCATTTGAGCCCAGGAGGCAGGGATTGTAGAGAGCTAAGATCATGCCACTGCACTCCAGCCTGGGTGACAGAGCGAGATACCATCTCAAAAAAAAAAAAAAAAAAAGAAAGAGAGATTGAGAGAGAGAGAAAGGTGTGTGGCTGCTTCAGGTAAGAATTGTTTGTTTGTTTGCTTTGAGACAGAGTTTCAGTCTTGTTGCCGAGGCTGGAGTACAGTGGCATGACCTCGGCTCACTGCAACCTCCACCTCCAAGGTTCAAGCGATTCTCCTGCTTCAACCTCCCAAGTAGTTGGGATTACAGGCATGTGCCACCATGCCCAGCTAATTTTTTGTATTTTTAGTAGAGATGGAGTTTCTCCATGTTGGTCAGGCCAGTCTCAAACACCCAACCTCAGGTGATCCGCCTGCCACGGCCTCCCAAAGTGCTGGCGTCACAGGTGTGAGCCACCGCGCCTTGCCTCAGGTAAGAATTTAAAAGGTGCTGCTAGTGGTGTATTTCATAACTTCCTCTTCTGTCTCCCTTGAAACCTTCAGTAAAAATATTCGTTACTCTCCAGTGTTTTTGTAGTGGAATTTGCATTGTTTGGATGAGATGACATTTGAGAGTGGCCTTCCTAGGGAATCACAGAGTGCCGAGGAGGCTCAGGTACATTCACATTACAGATCAGAGAGGGGAAAGGAAGGACTCCATTCTTTCGTGTTTATTTGTCACAGACAAAGAGGAGATGCACACTCATTTGTGTTTAAATTCATCTAGTCTGCAAATGTGCACACATTTAAATTTAATTCATTCACTTATTACTCATCAGCTTAACAAATATCACTACAGCTCCCATTGTTTGCCAGGTACTGTGCTAAGTTGTTCCTAGGGATAAACACCAAGTAATACAAACCTGCTTGCTGTCTTATTGTAGCTTACAGTTTAACACTATATAGTCTAGTGTAAGCACAAGACCCAAAAGAAGTTATGAATAAATATAGTGTGTAAAGATACTATAATGTATGTTGTTGTTGCTGTTATTTTTAAAAAAGCAAAACTGTCCGGGTGTGGTGGCTCATCCCTGTAATCGCAGGATTTTGGGAGGCCAAGGCGGGTGGATCACCAAAAGTCAGGAGCCTGACCAACATGGTGAAACCCCGTCTCTACTAAAAATACAAAAATTAGCCAGGCATGGTGGTGGGCGCCTGTAATCCCAGCTACTTAGGAGGCTGAGGCAGGAGAATCACATGAACCCAGGAGGCAGAGGTTGCAGTGAGCTGAGACCACGCCATTGCACTCCAGCCTGGGCAACGAGAATGAAACTGTCTCTAGGCCGGGCGCGGTGGCTCAAGCCTGTAATCCCAGCACTTTGGGAGGCCGAGGCGGGCGGATCACGAGGTCAGGAGATCGAGACCATCCTGGCTAACACAGTGAAACCCTGTCTCTACTAAAAATACAAAAAATTAGCCAGGTGTGGTGGCGGGTGTCTGTAGTCCCAGCTACTGGGGAGGCTGAGGCAGGAGAATGGCCTGAACCCAGGAGGCAGAGCTTGCAGTGAGCTGAGATCGCGTCACTGCACTGCAGCCTGGGTGACAGAGCGAGACTCTGTCTCAAAAAAAAAAAAAAAAAAAATTAAACTTTGTCTCAAAAGTAAATAAATAAGTAAATAAAAATTAAAAAATAAAAAAGCAAAACTTTTTCAGGCAATTTAGTTATAAGCAAATTACAATGTTTTGTTACAATCTGACTGCAAGAAAAAGGCCTCTAGCAGACCAATCCAAAGATTCACTCTTGGCAGAAATATTTTAAAGGAAAACAGAAAGGTTAATCACTTTCAGATTAGATACAAAAGAATGTTTGTTTAAGGTCACTCTATCCGGTTAAATGGCCGGGTGATTGGTTTTCCCAGAACAAGTTGTAATTTAAAGTTCAGAAAAATTCCTTAAGTAATTTATCAGGAATGCAATTCTCTCCCCAGAAGGAGCTTGTGAATTGTATTCCAAAAAATATTCCATCCCAGTCCGGGTTTGGAACAATTTTTCTCCTATTGAATATTTTAAAATATATTTCTACAAGATGGTTCAATGTACTTCTTCAACTCAATTTTTAGCAGCAAATACGTGTCATTTCCTTATGTCAGTCCATATTTAAAACATAGTAATTGTTCCTTGCAGTTGTGAAACAAACAAAGAGTTGAGATGGAGAATCCAAATGGAAGCCCTGGTTTAAATAGAACGGACTGGGAAGACCTCTCTGAAGGGGTAAGTTTGAGTTGTGGAAGTCATATTTAAGTTGAGGTCTAAAGGGAGACAAAGAAGCTACTCAAGTGAGATGATAAGGAAACATATTTCACAGGGAAACAGCTTATACAGAGGCCCTTAGGAAAGAAAAGTGACTTTGAAGATGGTGTTACCTAAGGAAACCAACACAGAAGGTTGAAACTGATGCAGACAATTCAGAGATGGGTTCTGATTGGTCCATTCTGATGGGTTTTCTCTTCAAACCAACCCTTCCAGATACAGTACTAAGAGTAGTACGGGAAGAATTAGGATGAGGTACTATTAGCAGAGGAAAGGGGATCAGAACCCAAGAAATGGGGAGGAGGAGGGAGTGACTCTCCTTAATATTTCCATATCCACAGACAAAAAGGAGACTTTTAGAAATAGATTCCCTGGCGGTCCACAGTGCACTATCCTTGCCTGCTCCTCTTTCAGGGAAAGATGAGTGACTTTCCTGATTGGTGACATCAGGACAAGTCATTAGAAGCAGGAACCAGGAGCCGGGCATTGAAAAGGGGGCTTGCTGTCTCACATACGCTTGCTATGCTATCTCTTCTGCAGTGCCAGGGTTTATGAAACAGATCTTGATCCTATGCACCACTGGCTTAAGGAGTGTCTTCCTGGCAGAGCCAACTCTTTTTAAAAATAGATTGGAAAGCCTGGATGTGAATAGAATTAGTGAAAGCCCTACTTCAGCTTTGGGCTTAAGCCACATTGCTTCAACACAAGTTATAAGGAAACTCTTCCCAGATCTGCTTTCGGAGGGGTGGGATAGAGCTTGAAGGGAAAGAAAAAGAAGAGCTTAGCCCTCAGATCCCTAACATGTGGATTTTGGTTAGATATGTGAATTTCTTTCTTTCTTTTTTTTTTAAGCTGGAGTCTTGCTGTGTCGCCCAGGCTGGAGTTCAGTGGAGAGATCTTGGATCACTGCAACCTCCGCCTCCCAGGTTCAAACAGTTCTCCTGTCTCAGCCTCCTGAGTAGCTCGGACTACAGGTGCACCCCACCACACTAGGCTAATTTTTGTATTTTAAGTAGAGACCAGGTTTCACCATATTGGTCAGGTGGGTCTCGAACTACTGACCTCAGGTGATCCACCCACCTAGGCCCCCCAAAGTGCTGGGATTACAGACGTGAGCCACTGTGCCTGGCCAGATATGTGAATTTCTTGAAATACGGGGCTATATTAGTTGGGACTCTTCATTATAAGGACAAAAATTCAACTCAAAGTAGCTTAAGCAAAGCAAAAAAAAAAAAAAAAGTGGTTTATTGGCTTACATACTGGGAAGGACAGGGTTGTGTGTGTCATTACGACTTTCTGCCTCTTCTTTGTCATCTCTACTTGGCTTGACTTCGTTCCCTGATTTCTTGGTGCCTTCAAGCTTTCTTCAGGATGACTTCAAAGGTCGGGGAAGATAGCTCCAGTATAGCCTAAGTACCTCAGCTTTTCTCTCCAAACATGTACACATCAAATCCTAGGGAAAGTCTATGGATCAAATGGGTAAGAGTTAGTTCCCACATAGTAAGGGGCACTCAATTATCAAAATAAGGGGAGGAAAAGGGCTGGACACTGTGGCTCATGCTTGTAATCCCAGCACTTTGGGAGGCCAAGACAGGCGGATCATTTGAGGCCAGAAGTTCAAGACTAGCCTGGCCAATATGGTGAAACCCCATCTCTACTAAAAATACAAAAATAAGCCAAGCATGTGGTGTGTGCCTGTAATCCCAGCTACTTGAGAGGCTGAGGCACAAGAATCACTTGAACCCAGGAGGCAGAGGTTGCAGTGAGCTGAGATCATGCCACTGGACTCCAGCCTGTGTGACAGAGTGAGATTCTGTATCAAAAAAAAAAAAAAAAAAAAAAAAAAAAGGTGGTGATGGGGGTGGGGTAGGGAGGAGAAAACAGATGCTGAAGAGACAAAAATGACAAAATTTGGAATAATAAAGGAAGTTAAGGATAAATTGTCTTACAAGAGCAGCACAAAAGAAGTGTAAAAATCATATGCTTTACTCTCCCAGCACCCAGTTAAAATACTCTTCCTAAAGAGTAATTTTTTTCATGAAATGAAACTCAGGTTATTGAGAAACTGCAGCAGGATGAGAAATAATCTTGCTTTCCTCAGAGGTGTAGAGAAGGGCAAGAACTGGAAGAGTTCCTCCACCAAGGTAAAATAGGCATGGAAAGGGACAGCAATGGGCACAGGTATCGGGGAGGGTAAATCGACTTTGGGCAGGTACAGCAAGAGACATTAGGTAACAATCCAAGAAAAGTCAGTACCCATAGCCTGAGCAACATGGAGAAACCCTGTCTCTACAAAAAATACAAAAACTAGCCGGGTGTGGTGGTTCAAGCCTGTGGTCCCAGCTACTCAGGAGGCTGAGGTGGGAGGATCTCCTGAACCCAGGTAGGTCAAGGCTGCAGTGAGCCGAGATCGAGTCATTGCACTGCTGCCTGGGCAACAGAGTGTGACTCTGGCAAAAAAAAAAAAAAAAAAAAAAAAGAAAGAAAGAAAAAAAGAAAAAAAAAAGGCCAGTCTCAGTGGCTCACACCTGTAATCCCACCACTTTGGGAGGCCAAGGTGGGTGGATCACCTGAGGTCAGGAGTTCAAGACCAGTCTGGCCAACATGGCGATACCCCGTCTCTACTAAAAATACAAAAATTAGCTGGGTGTGGTGACACATGCCCATAATCCCACCTATCAGGAGGCTGAGGCAGGAGAATCGCTTGAACCCGGGAGGCAGAGGTTGCAGTGAGCTGAGATCGCACCACTGCACTCCAGCCTGGGTGACAGAGCAAGACACCATCTCAAAAAAAAAAAGAAAGAAAGGAAGGAAGAAAAGTCAGTACCCGTCATCTCAATACAAAGAAGATGGAATGTCTCAGATGGTAGAGGTTAAGTGTTCCCCTGCATAGATCTCCAAATATGGAAAGTTATCTGTCAGATATTTAGGCTGAAGTTGTGGAGCACACCTTCTGTCCCTAGGTATGATAAGAATAGAGACTGATAAGAACAAGGCAGGCCTCCAGGTCTAGAGAAAGTGTGGTTCTCAGTAGGTTTCTAAGTCAGGGATCCAGGCACAGGGAACAGACAGGGATGTAGTTACAAAAACTGGTTACCAGAAGGCCTGGTCTTGGAGACAAGTAGGAAGTCCAGTTATTGGAGCGTGTCAGAGCTAGTCTAGCAATGAGTATGACTTTGTGTGCCAAATCTCTGGATGATGGACATGAGTGCCCTCCTGGGGCTGAGATTTGTTTTAGGGGCCGGAAGGTTGGTATCTGTTGGGAGATGAAGGATATAGAAGTAGGGAGTTAGACAGATTCTGACAGACACAAGGAAAGATTTTACCATGCAAGTTGAATAGCATGTATTTTGATCAGATCAATTCTGAAGCTATAAAGTACAATAAACGAGATGTTTTAAAAATAAGAGGCTGGGCGTGATGGCTCACACCTGTAATCCCAGCACTTTGGGAGGCTGAGGCGGGTGGATCACTTGAGCCTGGGAGTTCAAGACCAGCCTAGGCAACATGGCGAAACCCAGTATCTACTGAAAATACAAAAATTTAGGCAGGCATGGTGGTGCATGCTTGTAGTCCCAGCTGCTCTGGAGGCTGAAGTGGAAGGATTGCTTAAGCCTGGGAGGTCAAGGCTGCGGTGGGCTGTGATCATGCCACTGCACTCCAGCCTGGTCAACAGAGTGAGATCCTGTCTCAAAAAAAAAAAAAAAAAAAGAGGAAGAATCCACATCTAATTTGAAACACCCAGAGCTGTGGGAGTATCATGACGAGCGCAAGAAGTACAATATTGGGGCACATTTAGATAAGGATAATTTGTATTATTGATTTGTATTCATCTCTAAGATGTGCCTCTCACTGTGAAGTTCCATGGATAAAGATTTGGCTTCAGTTTCTGTCTGGAAACCTGGCACCATTTACTTACAAATTAAAAATACAAGTGAATCATTTACATATCTCCTAGAAACCAAAGAGTTTGTATGTTATACCTCAAGTAATTTGGATAATGCTGTGGGTTGCGTTTTTTTTCTTTTTTAAATTATAATTAAGCCATCCATCACTTCAAGGTGATAATTTTCTCAAGTATGCTCTTCTTAAAACGATTGCATTTTATTTAGTATGTTATAGCGTGAGGAATTTTGACTCCTAGGGAAAATCTCATGTAAGTGATCATCTGTTATTTTGAGGGGAGATGATGGGGAGGAGTCTTTTCTGATCCTCTTCTTTTGAAAGTTATCACCCTCCCACTCTATGGGATTTAGGTGGGTCTGTCAGATACATGGGTTTAAATCCAGAACCTGCTTGATTCCCAACTTCTGTATCCTTTCTCTCCCCACAGATACCAACCATCTGGCCCTAAAACAAATCTCATCAGTTTATGAACCAAGCAGCCCAATCAGAGTGCCTAATTCTCCCTACCACACAATTGGTCAAGGAGGAAGCAAGTGACATAATCTAAATTCTTTCCAAAGATGGATGCAAATGCTAGGAAAGCAAGAGTTGAATTGCTAGCCATGAGGAAAACGTAAGCCTGAGCTGTTTGCTGGTCATCTTTGCTTCCATATGGAGACAGCCTGCGTGGAAAGGAAGCCACACAGAGAAAACAGAAGAGCAGTGAAGAGAAAGGTAAAAGGAGAGATCCCATGACATGATTTGCACTCTTAGATCCAGTTATGCCTGAAGCAGGACCCACCCCTTGGACTTCCCATTTCCAGGAGCCTATGCATTCTCTGTTGCTAAAACTAGATTGAGTTGAGTTTCTATCACCTACAAGTTGACAGAAAATATCAACAATCCAGCCACATGGAGCCTCAAGGCAGTACCACTAACCCTGGTCACCACACAAATACTGACCAGAGGTAAGCATTATTAGCTTCTGCTTTGTTGGAGGAACATTTGAGAGTCTATTTTGTGTTATGTAATTTTACTTTTTGCCTCCAATGTCTACTTGTTGCAATTGCATGCAGTGAAGGAACACAAAATAGACTGAATAATAAACAGGTTTCATTTTAATTTAGCACCAAGGAGTTAATATCAAGCCACAAAACTTTAGACGTTAACTTGCTTTGCTAATCATTTTTGATGACAATATTTTGAAAGAATTTAGTTCACATATGTGCTTGCAAATAAGGTGTAATCTTGCAAGATATTCAAGATTGCTCTGTCATTGGTCGTGAATGAAAAAGGTTTCTCTGTATCATTGGGCATTTGAAAGAATGTATAAAAAGTGCAGGATGTCTCCTTACTGGTATATAATGTTTCCAACTTTGCTGTTGTAGAGTTCAAAGCCAGTCTGACTCTTGATCCTTAAATACATGTTTTTTCTCCTCTCCAGAAGCTTTGAAGATCCCTTTGTCTCTGATGTTCTGAAGTTTCACAGTCGTGTGTGTTGGCATGAGTCTTTCCCCATTCTTGTTCTGAGTGGATCCTTACACTCCGGAAATTGATTTCTTGCAGAACTATTTATTGACGGTCTATTGTGTGTCTGGTTCTATTTTATGCAATGATCAAACATACAAAATCCTTGCCATGGAGGATTTCACATTATAGGCAGATATTGGACAACCTGCGGTGATCCAATAGCTTCCTTATTTTTTTTTTCTCTTCCATTTCCACCTTCTTGTCTTTTCTTTCTTCTTTCTAAAAGAGTCTTCATCTTCCAACTTCTTTATTAAAGTTTTTGCTCCTGCTATGTGTTCAGTTTCCAAGGGCTCTGTATTATTTCATAAGTGCGTATCTTCTCTTATCTCTCTGAAGACGTCTCTAACAGTTTTACTATTTATTTATTTTACTTCTTGCTTTATCTCAATACCTCTACATTTTGTTGTCCTGTTCATTTGTTTTGGTCTCTGTTTTTTAATGATAAGAACTTTCTTTCTCACCTATTTGTATTTAGGGGGCTACAGAACTGAGAACGTACTGACAGCTCTGTTGAGAGTATGGGATTTGTGAACTGGGCTTCATTAGTAAAGTGACTGGGCAAAACTTAAATTTCACTGAGGTTTTCCTCCCTCCATATTGTCTTATCTATAGTTAGTTGCCAGTGTTTATACATGATATTCTAGCCTCAAGGTGGATTTACTCTAAAATTTATTTTACTCAAGCTTGACACAGAATGTTTTAAATTTTTGTTTGTTTGTTTGTTTTTTGAGACTAAGTATCTGTCATCCAGGCTGGAGTATAGTGGCACCATCTTGGCTCACTGCAACCTCCGCCTCCTGGATTCAAGCAATTCCCTTACCTTAGCCTCCCAAACAGCTGGGATTACAGGCACTCGCCACCATGCCTGGCTAAATTTTTTTGTATTTTTAGTAGAGACGGAGTTTTGCCACGATGGCCAGGCTGCACTTGAACTCCTGACCACAGGTGATCTGCCCACCTTGGCCTCCCGAAGTGCTGGGACTGCAGATGTGAGCCACCATGCCCAGCCTTTAAATTTTTATTCTACATAATAAAATCAAATTACAGAGCAGCTGCCTGGTACAATTTGTATAAAAAACTTATATTTGGGCCAGGCATGGTGGCTCACACCCGTAATCCTAGCACTTTGGGAGGCCGAGGTGGGAGGATCACTTGAGGTCAGGACTTTGAGACTATCTTGGCCAACATGGCAAAACCCCATCTCTACTAAAAATACAAAAATTAGCCAGACATGGTGGCACACGCCTGTAATCCCAGCTACTTGGAAGGCTGAGGCAGAATTGCTGGAACCCAGGAGGTGGAGGTTGCAGGGAGCTGAGATCGTACCACTGCATTCCAGTCTGGGCGACAGAGCAAGACTCTGTCTTGAAAAAACAAACAAACAAAACAAACAAAAACCACTTATATTTGGAAAGTAAAAAAACAAAACAAAACAAAGCAAAACAAACAAACAAAAAAACCAAGACTTTATTGCAGAGCTGCCCAACAGGTATGCCACAAGCAAGTTATGAATGTTCCAAGGTATGAACCCCTTCCCTTGGGTCAATAAGGTAAGAAAGTACATGTGTAACAACCAGCTCTCCAGGAAAAAAGCCTTGATTTGTAGCATTTGTTAATTTTATCTTACTTTTTAGAGATAGAGTCTTATTATGTTGCCTAGGCTGGCCTCAAACTCCTGGGCTCAAGTGATCCTCCTGCCTCAGCCTCCCAAAGTGCTGGGATTATAGAGGTGAGCCATTGGGCCCAGCCTGCATTCAATAATTGTTTTTATTTCCGTTGTGTAAGTACTCCTACCACGGACAATTTCAGACTGCCAACAAGCTGTCATTAAATTCAGATTGGGGAAGATATATGTACACAGTTGGCTCTTGGGAGCTGGTAGGAGCTGGCTCCAGCACATTTCTGAACACTTAAACTCTCGGGAGTGCTGGTGGATGTCTCAGGTGAGCAGTGCCTGCCCTGGGTTATTGCCTTCTGCTGAGAACAGTCTTGTCAATTTACCCCAATGTGCTGTTCAACTATTATCATTCATATATATATATATATATATATATATTTTTTTTTTTTTTTTTTCTCATGACATGAGAAAGGCTGGGAAGCCCTGCTCCATTGGATTTGGTTTTTTTTGTTTGTTTTTTGTTTTTGTTCTTTCTTTTTTGAGACAGAGTCTCGCTTTGTCACCCAGGCTGGAGTATAGTGACACAATCTCAGCTCACTGCAACCTCTGCCTCCTGGGTTCAAGCGATTCTCCTGCCTCAGCCTCCCGAGTAGCTGGGATTACAGGCATGTGCCACCACGCCTGTAATTTTTGTATTTTTGTATTTTTAGTAGAGACAGGGTTTTGCCATGTTGGCCTTGCTGGTTTCGAACTCCTGACCTCAGGTGATCAGTCCGCCTCAACCTCCCAAAGTGCTGGGATTACAGGCATGAGCCACCATGCCTGGTTGGATTTGTTTATTTCTAAAATATTGTATGTTTTATGCAATTCATAATTGCACATGCAATTCAATTCACTAAAATATATTAATATTTTCTTACAAGTGTATAGATGATATTACTTTTGTGGCCATACAAGAAGTTTCTTGAAGTTCAAACAACAATTCATATAGAATATTCGACAACCCTGTTTTTCTGGATAAAGCTTGAAACCGTGGAGAAATGAAACATCATCCTACCCTCAGAGAGCACACAGTCTAGGAAAAATGATTCCATTTGAAATAATTCAAATACATTTTAAGCTCAGTAGGTTTATTAATATTAGGCAACAATAAATGACTGCTTAGTATTCTTCATTTTATCCTTTAAAAATTTTGGCATTTTGATTTTTCTTTATTAAAAAATATACTTTAAAAATTAGGGAAAATGTCTTTTAACCTCACTGAATAAAAGAAAATAATTGAAACTTTAATTTTCATTTTAAAAGTAATTACATGCAGTGATAGCCTAATTTTGATGGCATGGTAGTTAACAGACAGCTGCTTTTATTTTAAATGGAATTGCATTTTTAACAGAAACTACTCTCATTGTTTGCTTTCATCTTCTAAATAGGAAAGCCAATTTGAGGGTTGAATATTTATCTGGTGCGTTTGATGGAGCCAATTAAGATAATTCAGGTTAATAGAAAAAAAAAATTTAATATGTTTCTCACTTAGCTGATTCATAAAGTTGACAATGACTTCTATCTACAACAGCTATTCCAAAAAAGTCTGTGATAAATTCAGCCTTCTTCTTAAAGGAAAAACAAAATACTGTAAATTTTACTCAAAACTCATATTTTTAAACTTCATTAATTGTACACAATAAATTGAAGTGACAATATTTATATAATATAGAGTTCAAGATTATCTTCTCAGCATGTATGAAGATTATGATGTTTCATTATAGCTATGCACCTACTTACATTAAAAATTAATGTATCACAGCAGTGTCTTTCAGGCAGTAGTTAAAATAAAAAGAAATACTTCACTAGATAGGATAAATACTAACAAGAGGTTACTGCAGACCCCAAAGTGCAACTTTTTTTTTTTTTTGAGATGGAGTCTCGCTCTGTTGCCCAGGCTGGAGTTCAGTGGCGTGAACTTGGCTCACTGCAACCTCTGCCTCCCAGGTTCAAGCGATTCTCCTGCCTCAGCCTCCCGAGTAGCTGGGACTGCAGGCGCACACCACCACGCCCAGCTAATTTCGTATTTTTAGTAGAGACAGGGTTTCACCATGTTGTCCAGGATGGTCTCGATCTCTTGACCTCGTGATCCATCTGCCTCAGCTTCCCAAAGTGCTGGGATTACAGGCGTGAGCCGCTGCACCTGGCCTGATGATTGGGTATCTTAATTTTTACCTGGGAGGCTAGAGTCACTCGTGTGACTACAACAGGGTGGGTATTTGGTTATTTTTGTGATTGTTTAATGTGTTTGTCTGTGTTCATGTTCAGATTGAGTAAGTTGCAATCTTGTTATTGTCTTGTTCCACCATGGTGACAGAGTGACCTTGTATGATTATCGTTGTTATTCTGTGAAAACTGCTTATCTTGCGTGAGGGAACACTACAGACTAGTTAGCTGCCAGCTGCAGGCTGTCAGGGTCATCTTGTTGTTTATCACATTCTCAATCAGCTATTAAGCTTGGACTCTGACATGTGCTTGTTTCCACAGAGGACTTTAGGAAACCCAGGTCACAACGTGTGACCAAAAATTGGGAAGAGGGATAGTTCCCCTGTTTCCGTAGAGTTTCCATGCAATGACTTTGAGAGTTTGCTGCTTCAGGAATGCTCTGGGCCTGATGGCAGCATCCTCTTCAGGGCTGGGGTCAGGGGGTGAAAGGGAGCTGCTGCCCTCCAGTGGCTGTCTGGGAAATTACATCAGTGACTGTTCCCTCAACTCACGGTTAGATTTTCTGGGAACTTCCCTGAACATGGCGAGGCAGAGCAGAAGGAAAGAAGATTT